GGACTCGACCGCCATAGATACGGCGCGTCGTTTTTTAGGAGATCCTGCGCAACGAGCGATAACTGTCATGTGATATAAGAAAGATGGACGTGCAAAGTGTGCGAATTGATGCAAACCTTGTGTTGGTAGAGGCGACATGGTCTGTTGCGCGACTTGCTGATGCGTATTATCAGTCGTTGGTATCGTGGCATTGCAATTTTTATCCCTACCGTGATTGCTAATAGCTGCCGCGAATGGCACCGGCGAACCTTCTATTCCTCGTTGTCTATTTCTTCTATATATACTTTCATAATCCAGTTGTGCCTGTCGAGCGTGTTTATAACGAATAAATATATATTATTAATGTGAATCACTTTAGTCTAACTTGTAAGAACGACAAAATCGACTTTACGAAATGTGGCAGATATTTAAACGCTTGTAATGAAATTTAAAACACGTAAGATATTTCTCAGCTACTTACATCCAACTCCTTTCTGTTGTCTGGCTCCACGTTTTCTTGATTATTCGTATCCACATTTATAGTCGGCGGCTGATTAATGGTGGTAGCTGTGGTAAGCGGTGCTGCTACAGGTGGTACTGTAGGCAACGATCTGGTAGTTGATAAACCTTCATTAGCTATTAATGGTCGTTCCCAATCATAGGGATCATTCGGCTTTACACCCCTACGTTTCATACATCTTTCGAACAGGCCAGATAACATAGCATAATCCGGTTTATCTGCATACTCCAAACTCTACAAAAGTTTTCAAGTACTTTATTACTATAAAAGTAAGATAAAATCGAAAGAAAATTGTCTCAAATTACTTTATAGACATAATTATATAGATATAAATAACACTGAGATGCATTTTTAATCACGTACCTGAATATGTTCCAAAAAGACTCGTAAATCAGATGGGAGATGCTTTAACAACAATCGATGATCGTACTTTTCTTTCATAAGGCCCACCTACACACAAGAAGGCGTTGCACTTTAATAATACTTGTAATTAGATGCAAAATTGTCTTTGCATCTTGCAAGTACACTAAAATTTCTTTAACTTACCTGCTCTTTATCCTTTATTTTTCGCCATGGCAGTTGTCCATTAACGAATTCGACTAGCATATAAAATAATGACCACAAGTCATCGTGCCGACCCATCTCCTTATTTTTGTGTGCATTGACTGACGCGTATCGGACGGTTCCTCTAAATCCTGCGGCAGCACGGGGCGGTCGCACCTCTCCCGTACCAGTAGTGAATTGTCGGGCTAGACCGAAATCTAACATATATACTAGCCTGGAGTTGTAAGGATGACGGCCGATCGAAAAATTTGACTGTGAACAAAGTATTAACATGTTAACATTCACAGTTAGATAATTTTACACTGTTTAAATATTCTAATCAAGAAGAATCATCTATCAATTTTACAAGAATATGCTGGATAAGTTATTTCCGTTTATATGTATAAATATATCTCACAGATATACTCACAGGTTTAATGTCTCTATGCAGAAATCCCACTTGGTGAATACTTTCTATAGCTTTTAAAATTTGAAGACCAAGACGTAATGTAGTAGAGAGTGAGAAAGCACCTCTTGGTTGCGCCCTGCGCAACTCGGCTAAATTCTTGCCTTGTAATTGCATTACAACATAATTAAATCGATCGTTACGTCCACAGCCAATAAAACGGCACACATGGTCTTTACCTAAAAGTTACAATTTTGAATTGGTGATAACTTGAAAAAAAGAAAAGAGAATAAATAAATATCTAGCTTAATTTTCCAAACACAAAATTTTCACAAGAACAATTCAGATGTAACATGCCTTTCTTTCAATCAATTTGTGAAAAATATGTCGCATTTAAATGTTTTAGTGACGTGTTTGACGGAAAACATTACATATACTAACCCTGCAATTTTTTTAGTACAGCTACTTCCATTTTTAAGACTTGTTTGGGTTGCCGTGCAGATTCAACTTTAAGGGCAACTTGTTCTTTTGTCATTAAATCCAGACCTTCATAAATTTCTCCAAATCCACCACCGCCTATTTTTCTTACCTATATTTAAGATATATGTTTCTTAATGTCTCTTGCTTACATTTCTATTGAATAATAAATTGAATATACAAATATCCCTTCCTTTGTACAAGAAATATTATCAATTCTTCCAAAATTGGCATTAAAAATTAAGAAATAGCACCAAACTGTGAAAAATGTCAAAATAAACTTACAACTTTCCAGCGTTCTTTGACCACATGGCCAGGCTGTAATAGATCTTCACTCGTCATAGTTATGTTATTATTTTGATCCGTGCTTTCGTCGCCTACATTCCTCAACACCAAATCCTCTGAATGATTTGCAGGCCTGAAAAGTGCAAGTGACACTTCTTAAATATACATGCGTTTAATGCGGATTGTCCGCGTGACTGCGCGACATTGACGCGCCGACAACTGTGAGCTGTCAATGCGAAACGCGCCTCGAATGCGGGACTTTTAATTTAAAGTGACATTTGACAAAATTGGTCAATACGCGCCCAGTGCTAGGCAGCCATGATTGCGTGCGAGCGAAAGGTGTTGCTGGTGCAGTAGACGTTTCTTACTATTCAGTCCTGAAGCGAACCTCCATATCAGCAATCTTTCGATCGCTCGCGATCGTTCTCCCTGTGATTTAGCAATTGTCACGCCGCCAGTGATCAACAACTCGCCGACTAACGGACATCACGACGATCAGAGTGAGACTGTCGTGCACTGGCACGTACTCGATTCTTTTCGCAGTTTCGTTCTCGATTGGCGGTGCCGATGACTCGACGGGCGACCATCGCTGCTGATCGACGTGAAGCGCCGATGTAAAAGCGGTGTTTTTTAGTTTTTTTTTTTTAAATTTTCTTACAACCGCTCGTGGCAAATTAATTTCCGCGCTGCGACCGCACGTTCCTGCGGTGAACGCGCATCTCGCCGAGACCGTCGCGTATCCGCCGTCTCGACCGATCCAAATATAATAGTATTTTATTTTTACTAACAATGTCGTCTGCTAGAGACACCGCTTACGGCGCGACGTTACACCGTGCGCGACGTACTCTTTCGGCGAACTGCCCCTCGCACAACGCGCGCACAATTTTTCCTCACAACCTCGACGCCGTCATTCTCTCCTTTCCGTCGCCTGCCCGCTCGCGCGCGTGACGATCCCGGGATTGTCGTACGAGACCGATCACTCGCTCGTTACCGCGACGACGGCCAAGCCCGGGTGTCCGCCGTAACAGTTTCCGTCAAATGCCAGTGGGACGGCCATTTTGGATTTCGCACACCGCACACGGGAATTGTAGTGTGCAAAATCACCGGTAGATAGCGCACAATGGCGCGATCGATGCACTTCTGCGTTTTCTCTCCTACCTTCACGCCTCTCGCTTCTTCTCCTGGATTTCCGCGCCCGTTCACGCCGCCCGCTCTTGTCGTCCTCCCTCGCGTTTATTATTGGTTATTATTCCTCGTAGATCTTGCGCTCTTTTATCGTATCGCGCGCGGGCGTATACACGCGTCAAAGTTCCGCATGATAGACACATAAAAATGCACAAATACAGCACGTCTCCTTTCATGGTATCGTCGGAAGAGGAGGATCGCTCCTTTGAGATTTTTATCTGTCCGCATTCAGTCCGCAATATCCCGTGAGTCATTATTATGTTTATATTTCTTTGTATTTATAATGCGATCTCCAATGAATTATTAATAGTATCGAGATTAATCGCATTACCCGTTCCACGGGTGTTGATCACCACGTGAACATAAGCGCGGATACGCTACTTTGAATAGACACATTCTATTGGGGGAAAACTTGGAAACTTATTAAGCCAGAATGTTAATCAACTGTAGACGACGCAACGCATACTTCAGTGTTATTTTAAGTTAGGAGCGAGAAATTTTTGTGACAAGACAGCAGAACACAAACACAAGTATTATATTTCATTTTGCTCACGTACGTATATAGATAATCATTTTTTTACTCAAAGATTCGATCATTGTTAGTTGCTACATTCAAAAACTTGCTCGACAAAGAGAGAAATTTTAATTATTGCAGAATAATTAGGAAGGAATGTTCGTCATTCTGCAAATACTTGCACTTGCGTCAGTATTACAGCTTTTTGTCTAATTAGCTCATAATGAGCTAATTAAAAAAGTATAACGATTCGATGCTTTCGATCTTCATTGCGGCATCCTTCGGTTATATTAAGGTTAAAGCGCTTATAAAATTTTGACCGCTCGCGACTCCCTTTGCTAGAGGGCATAATATAAGTTTAAACATCTATTTTTAAACGACCCCACTGAGCATATAATACATCTAGCAGCATCTTCTCTCTCCTCCGCGCCAGAGAAAACTTCTCCAACTTCTTTTCATATTTCTTACGATTTTTTTTAATTTCATTCGGACTAACAATCTTGCGGAAGTCTACGCTTAAATAATAATAGCCTTAGAACGCGGAATATTTTTCAATCATCGGTAAATTTAAATTAGCAAATGATCAAATATAGCTGGTATTCTTGTCTACTTTATCGAATTATGTATGAAAACTTTGTTCTATATACAGATTAGGTAATCAATTTATTATCAAATAGCGAAAAATAGCAGTTTAAACGATATATGTCCGAGATGCAATGATTATTTAACACGATTACAATAATAGGATACTATTCTTGTATATAGCATGGCTCTTAATTAATGACACACATATCAAAGCGTGGTTTTCGTAATTATCTACGCTGTTTTGTATCTCGACAAATAAATCAAAATATTTTAATTTTTAAACAAATCATTACGATAAGCATAAACAATTTTTTGTAAAACTACAAATTTAACAAGACTAATTTATTAAATAAACGAGAAAATGTGCGTAATTTTTAATTAAGCTATTAAATCTTTTGGCAGGGAAATATGTTTAAACACAAAGCAATAAGGAAAGTCAAAGCAGATTTTTAGGAATGGCAACTCACGATTTTACAAGACAAATTTTTATCAAAAATCTTTTCAATTTGCACCGAAAGAAGTATGCAAGAAGTATGCGCCGTCTTCTCTATTTATACGAAAAGTGTTAAGTGTAGGCACATTCTAGTTACGATTTCGGGAAGTATTCCAAAATGGTTAAGTTTAACGCTCTGGCAAAAGCTAATTTATTTACTCGATATATATGTCTCAGAAATGATATATTTTCACATAAATACAAATACGTGTATAACACTTTTCCAAACTGTAGATAACATTTGCGATCTATCATGCCAGTTGCAGCGTCGTATTCACACTCGGGCAAGGAAAATTCAATTCACTCACGCGTATCGAACACAAAAATGAAGAGTTGCGCACAGCCGGTATTATTAATTGGTATTATTAATTAGGTACTGCTAATTTTGTACGTACCATTTCATGATTTCGCTGAAAACAAACGGGACTGGCGTAACGAGAGCGTGTTTCGCGGATCAGGGCAGAGCGCGATGTGCGCCACACGTCTTCTTTTGCCGGACGGCAAAACGGAAGTAAAAACAAGAGCCAAATTCGCGCGTGATTTTCGTGCGTATTCCGCGTTCAATGCCGTCTCAATGCGAGCCGGTGCAAATTCACCTCGACTTACGACGATCACCGAGCCGGACTCGAGTCATAATAGCGCCTCGTTCTGGCATCGAACCGACACGGCGACTCGGCGGCGCGACCGCGAGAATCGTGCTTGGTCCATCGGCCTCTTCGGTCCCAGCTACACTGTTTCTCTTCTTGTCAGCTCCCTCTCAGGCGAGGTGAGCCATCTTCTCGAACCACCGCCTTCTTCCTGCTGCTTTTGTTCTCTAAACGTCATGAGCGCGTCGCCGGGACGCGTGATAAACGTCTTGACATTCAGGCGCCGCGAAACGGGGAGCAAAGGGGGCGACCGCTCATCCAGAGATAATAGCCCAGATAAGGACGCTCCCCTGAAATTTTTTTGTTTTCTTCAGATATTTCATGACCAAAACTATTGAGCATCAAATATTTACATCAAAGGTGGAAAAATGAGTTATTTTTCTTTTCTTTTTTTTTTGGATTATTTACTCGTTCAATTGAAGTGCACTATATAACGAAGAAAATTAAGCGCATTAAGTTAATTAGAGTAAAAAATCTGTGCATATTTTTCGCACATTTATACTACCCACTGAATGGCCTATTATGTGGTGTTTGAATGAAGTTACATATACATATACATATACATATTATGAATGTATTATGTATCCCCTTTAAAAATTTTGCCCCATCAGATGAAAAATATTTCCGCGGCGCCTGTTGTCGTAACACCGAGTAATTCAGAACTGTGTTTGATAGTTTTCTCATAATGTAATTAAAAAAACAATTGTGATATTTTTGTTCTTTCAAATAAATTTCACGCTATGGAACACATAAATTATGTATATATGAAAGAAATCAATGGTGCACACAATGTTCGCTGATATTTGATTTTTAAAGACTAATTTTGGCTTTATTAATGAGACAGACAGGTTTAATAATATTTGTTTATTAGTAATGTTGCATTATTATTATTTTTATACATATTTGATATTGGCCATCAACAAATATGTTACAATTTTTATTTTCCCACCCTCTCGTGTTTTTATTCGTTTGTCTGAGAACTAACGCGATATATTTTTGTCATAATAATAATAATAATATAATAATAATAATAATAATATAATTTATAGAGAGAGTCATTGCGCATGACAAATGACCACCAATATTAATCGTACTGCGTTAAATTGTACATCGTCGTTTTTCGAGTTCGCACCACATTAAATAAAACGACGCGCGTATCAAGACAACACATAGTAGATAATGTAAATGCAACGAGTGAAGCGATATTCAACAAATAAGACCTAAGTAAGACGCAACAATAGCATGCAGGGTGTTTCCTAACATGCGGCAAGCACGAAACTGCCTTGCGGTATGCTTCTCGCATATCAGAAAAGAGCCACTTATCTAATAGATACAGCGAAATCGCACGGAAAATTAATCGCGAAAGCGCTTGTGTACAGATTCGCGAATCCTTGCACTGCGCCGTCTTCCTTTATCTCTGCCGAACAAAAGGAGAATTTCGCACGACGCAAAATACGCGGGTGGTCGCGCTTTTAACTTTAACTTTATCCTTACGAAACTATTGTGCACCCGCGTAAGATACCGTCGCGTCACGCGAAATTCTATTTCGAACGTTCACCATGATGCGAGAATAATCGTTTAAAAGTGCGTGCGTACGTGCTTGTGTATTTTTTTTGTGTTTGTGTATGTGTGTGTATGCTTTGCTTATTTCACCAGTCCGTGAGACACTCGATCACAATGCATATATATATATATATAGTATGTATATATTTATATATACATATGCATTGTCCGCATTATCGATAGTGGTTCAGTATCGTTTATCATATTCAGTATCGGCATACAATTGCAAGGGCAGGGTTCATCTTTCGTAAAAAAATAGTTCATTGTGAGTGCATCGAATTTCAGCGTTTTTCCTCTTTTTTTTCAGACTAACTGCACGAATCTGGTACGACATTCGAGTGAGATGTACTCGCGATATAATATAGTAAGCTCTCTAAATTTTTTCTCCCGAAGCTTGGTTTATAATAACGGGATGCTACAACGCGGCTTTCGGCTTAAGTAAGGTAAGTGTTGAATTTTTAGAGATTACGTAAAATGCGAGGAGAAACGGGTACGTATACTGTATCTCGAATCCGGATCGGCGTTGATTGGGATCCGCGTCGACCGAAATTTATTGTAACTCTGCTGCCATGTAAATCATTGATGCGTGCATGCGCTGGATGCGGTAACATCGATCGGACACGGTAATCGTCCGATTTGCACTGGCAAATCAAGCGGAACGCGCTTTTTACGCTAGAATAGATTTTTTTTTCAAAAAGAATACCGCTCACTCACAGCCGTTATTGTCAGTTTGTTTGGACGTCACTAAATATTCAGCGCATACTACATATGCGCGTCTACTATAGATCAAAACGTGTAACGCGAGGAAGATGTTGCCAGATTTATGTTTCGCGATATACTTTTGTTACTGTTCGATGAAAAGAAACATATTATCGGGTATTTCGAACGCGGCAAAATCGTTAACGATACCGAGAGAAAATGTTTTGTCTTGATCTAATTTGGTTAAACGTAATTGTGCAGAAAGAAATCAACTGTTAATTTCTGCAAAATATCGCCGAGAGAAAGAGAGATAATGAACAATTATCAAAAATCAATTGTCATATATTTTTGTCATCGTGGAATTTTTTTCAACATCTAATTCTGCTAAAATAGCTGTATCACATTTTGAAGTTGGTTTCTTTCCACATAATTGAGTTCGATTGTATCTGATTTATGTATCAGAGATATTTAAACCGACGTCAGCTTTAAAACAGACAGATCTTTTCTTTCGATTCTTCATTCTATTCAATCGCGAGATTTATTTCTTGCCGCTGCTGCAATTGTTCGCTATATTACAATTTTTTATTTGAGAAACACATTCACGCTTCTACTGGTTTAAGCCACAGCACGTTTTCCTCGATCATTAGTAAAACCTAGCATGATCCCTCAAAGTCTCGCGTGTTACTCGCTAATTCTGCCTACCTAATCTACAAAATGATGATAAGGGACCGATAGGTGCTGATGTACAAGACCCGGCGATTAGTGCAATCGGTGGTGCAATCATTATTTGCAACCAATAAGCGTAACACAATCGACAGTGTATACGATAAAGAGAAGCGTCGTCTCGAAGGGGGTGCTTTCGCAGTCGTATCTTCCTAAATAAGACAAAAAGAGAGAGAAAAAAGAACAAGGTCGTAATGATGTCTCTTGAACATTCTTGCCGTCAGGATTATACGATACCACAAAAACATCCGGTGAGAGTTTAGTCTTCTTCCTCGCTTTTACTAAATCTTGGCTAAAACTAATTGGACCTCGTCGTTTGTCGCGGCTACGAAAGGTCAGCGTGATAGTCAAAGAGATAGGTACGTATGACAGGCGCGACGATCGCGCCGATGAGTATTTTTCATATGGATGCGTGACAGAGAAGCATGATACTAATTTAACCCACGTGGAATTCTCACTTGGACAAGAGCGTATGTGTATCTTACAATAGGTAAGACGCGTCCTCTTGAGGAACTTGAGGACGACGCGAGGCACGTCGCAGCGACTCGCGCGATTCCGTCGCCGTTTTTTATCCCTCTGAGTCCTGATAAACTATAGATACACTGCGAACTCTCGGGGGAGTTGTGCAATCGTGTAGCGCAAGTTCGTAAAGACCGATCAAAGGGAGAACTTTTTTTCTTTTTCACTGCTGCCACTTTCGCCATCGTCGAATTTTGAAAGAAAGCACGATGTTCAGAACTCAGTTCAGACGCCTGATATGCTTATCAGATCGCCATCGCGACGGAATTCGCGTAATTCAGCGGAATGCACACGCGGGTTGCACACTCCGAAGAATACAGGGCGCATTCAACAAAATGCCAATGGAGAAATGTGCGATAATAAATCAATCGATCGCGCAAATTGCATTTTTGGTCTTATAAATCGTATAAAAATCTCCTATATTCAACCTAGCTTATAGCGCCTTAAGAGTATAATATGTCGGGAATTTGTGTTGTATAATGCCTGCAGACCTGTGTGTCTCTCTTGGTGAGATATTTCGCTGCGATCCGCGCGCGAGCTTTAAGTTTAACCGATCTTCGGTTATCCGCCGGAAACAGGATTGCCGCGAGCGCGGACGTTTATTTGTGCAGTAGCGATAAAGCTGGAGACGCGAAAGAGAAATCTGAGTTACCGTTCGCCAAGCAAATTGCAAATTGAATTGATTGCATTTGAAGAAATGCAGTAACGCGCCGATCGAAACCGTCTCGGTTCAGTAGTGGCGGTCTGAGTTTCCTCGGGCGAATAACAATTTGCAGAATCAATTGCTCGCACGCAGCAAATCGCAGCATCTCGCGACATGCAAAAGCGAATCGAAAAATAAATTGGAGACACGCGAGAGATAGCGAGTATTTCTGTTCTTTCTTTCGTACAAGAGATTTTTGCGAGTGCATAAGCGGCCCGGCTACTGTCGGTAAGTGATATTTCGTCGCGACCGACGCGGCGGATCGACGCGCGTGGTGCCGATCCGCCGGATCGATCCGCAGGAAAATATCCCGCGGATATGTCTCACAGCTTATTCTCGTGCGGCGAAACGGGAGACAGAGATTCGTTCCGAAAATTTGCATCTTCCGCGCGCGGAGCCGGTGCGGTAATTCATCCGAGTTCACTAATAGGAATTTGCATACTGAAGTACTTTAGTTCTCCTCCTTAGCTCACATTCACAGATTTGCACAATATAAAATCCTAATTTAATATGGCCGGTAATTTGTTTCATATCCCTCTTCCTCTTTCTCTAATCGCCCTCTTCCGCTCACTACTCTTCCTTTCCTCTCATTTTGTTATTATAATATACTTACTGTATGATTAGAGTTGTATATTTAACCGCAATTAGTAAATAGATAATTGCAAGCTTATGCTAATTTAGTTTCTACGTGGTGGTGTATGTGTGGGTGTGGGTGTGTGTATCCTGTAATGTCCACATTCATCTTCTATGTAACGAGAATCTCCATTTTCTTTCTTATTCTGACTCATAATACATACGCAAAGGCACACACACTCTCTCTCTCTCTTTCTCTTTCTCTTCCTCTCTCGCTCCCTCTCTTTCTTTCTTTCTCTCTTCCTTTCACTCTCACATGCTAATAGATAATTTCGCAATTTTTGCGTATATTGCAAAGCCCGATTCATCAATGCAAAAATATCTAACAAAGAGAAATGATTTACACCGTTAGCAATTTCAGAGGGTATCACTTGTTCTTTCTGCGAGCAATGCGCACGGATGGCTTTTCATCGCGAATCAAGCACGGCTGTATTCGTATAACGGCATTCGTCACGTATTTCTTCATAATTACAGTACGATCAACAATATGACAAGTTTATGGACAATTTATCCGATTATTGTGCGTTTAGAACTCTTAACTAACTAATGCTGAAGCTTACTCTTTTTTTTGTTTCCTCTTTGATGAAATCTAAGAATTCCTTTCTGTAATAATGAAAGTAATAGAATTGCGCGTTAGGAAGGAGCGTGCAAATAAAAGATGATTTTTTTTGTTAATAATTTAGATCACTGTTGAAACGTTCAAGCGCGAGTGTGCAACTATGAAAATTAAGAACAATTAAGAATTAACAATTTCACAAATCTTCACACTCGCACTTTTCAGTAACACATCCTCGACCGCGCGTTCCAGTTAAATTCATCTTCCGCCTGACAAATGCGTGCTGTCAATGCGTCTTCGACCGACGATAAACTTCAGCTGTGGAACACCGCCGCGCTTTGCGTCTCGCGAAATTTCACTCCGAAATGTAACGGGCAAAAAAAGAAAAAAAAGAGATCGCTAGTTCTCTCCTTCTTTCGTATTATTAATCGACTGAAGAGATATAGCCCTCGAACATTTATATATAGGAACAAATCGCCACAATTGCGCGATATAATACGTAGGTAATATGTAAAGCGAGAGTCTATTTGTGGGAGATCCAACGCGCGCTAAAAAAACACGATTTTGATTCGTGCGAACATTTATACACACAATCTTACACACACACACACATGCACACACACACACACTCTCTCTCTCTTTCTCTCTCTCTTTCTTCCTCGCTCACTACGTAATCTAATTCCTAATCGTGAGAACTTCAAAGATTGCGACATCGTTGGATAATCGTCGAGGATAATTTCTCCCTCCGCACTACGCGCGTCGCACTCTCTCGACATTGACTCTCGCAAATCGAAACATCGTTATTCGATATCTCGAACTGCGAGATATCGCTCTTCGAGATTATCGGGGCGCTTAATTTTTCTCTACGTGCGCTTCGTCCCCGCCGTTTTATTTTATCTAGTCTTCTCTCCTCTCTTCATAAAATCGCCTATCACCACGTATCCTTATACATATAATGAACCTTTGTTTAGAAACGAAACGTGCTAAATGCGCATTTACAATACGCCTCATATCATTTTTCACTAAAAAGCCGATAGGGACAATCTCGAGATATGTCTGTGTTGAGAATAACTTTATAACTACTTATTTCTTATCGCATAGGGAAGTGCAGCTCTTACTGCTTTTTTTTTATCTTATATATATATATATACTTTTTTTTCTATACGAGTTACATTCGGCAACACTAGCCCTCAAACGCTTCGCGGCGGGTTTTGCATGCCCTCGTCGACTTCGTCGTCTTCCTCCTTCTTGCTCACGAAAAGCGAACCCAGAAGTCACATACACAATTCATACAATCGTGAGATTGGCATATGTGTATTTTTTTAAATATATTTATATATAATTATTAATATCTTCTAGTGTCCATGGAAAGCTCTCTTTATCTCCTTATTTCTCTCTATCGTGCGTGACAAAAAAATAAATCTCTCGATCGCGCCGGGGCTCGTGTCTCCTGTCGGGATTGTACTCGGTGCGCATTTTCAGACAGGTTGCTTCGAAGAGATTGATGTAACGGAGAATCGATTTGAAGTAGAAAAAGAATTACGCGACGACCGAACGAGGGCGCAAATGAAAATCATAATCTGGACGAATATAACGTATAATTTATTGAAATAATGATGTGGTGTGCTTGAAGCGGCGTTTGTATTTTCTCTAACTAACGAATAAAAGACGCCTAACGCAAAAGCGCCATTTGCAAACACGCGAGAATCGGCGACAAACGTATATTGCACAGTGTGATGCAATCTTGCAACAATATCTGCTGGCGAAACAACACCGGTATCGTCACATCATTGCATTTGAGCTTTGCGAAACACGGTTTTTAGATATATTTTACAATTCACTTTTTACATACAACTTTTCGCAGATTTTCTTCTTGCTCTTCTTGTTTCTTCTTTTCTTCTCTCTTCATATGATTCTTTGTGTATCGCATCGTGTAGGTTCTTATATTGAAATATACACTACGGCGAGATCCGTGATGGTTCTATCTGGAGGCAATTTAGAAATATCTCTTCCTCGTAAGTTTTTTTTTTTTTATTTTGTAATCAGAATAGTATGATTTCCTTGATACGTCGCGTTTAAATCCGACTTGTTCGACCAAACTTTTACGCGCGAACTTTTCGCCCGACAAAATCAGGCGTCCGTCACTTCCAAAAGTGGAAAATAAATTTGTCAGAGTTCACGCTGAAGATTTCGATATTTCGAATTTTATTGGAACACGCGAACGAACGCACTACCCTCGCTGTCGCCTCTCGATCCTCTCGCTATGGAAACTTGCCGATGGAAAGATTCGCGACGTTAGATCTTCGATCTTGTATTGTTGCAATGTCGTATTACACGTACAACTGCTTCACGCATTTCTGCGACTCTGCTAAAACGTTCGGAGGACGTTTACGTCAGAGGAGAAATCTCACCAAAATCTCTGAGCGCTGTCCCACAGGTTCTTCATACTCGATTGGAACTCGAAGCGCAGGTTCTGGTAGTATCACGCTATGTTGTTGCCGCTCATCGTGGTGACGCATTTCTTCTCGGGCGTGTTCTGGCTCTCGGAGTTGCTTCGCACCGCCTTCGGCGGGCTGCCCGGCGTCGGCGTCGCGTCGCCCGGCAGAGCATTATTGTTGTTCGTCGACGTTGAGCTTCTCCTGCCGTTCTCGCGGCCCGGTGACTTCACGTCGAACACCGACGTGTCCGACTCGATGTCCGAGTCGATCTGAAACCGCGATACCGCGGTCTGTATTAGTCGATGATGCAAGAACGGCTCTTGGGATTAAATTAGTATTTTTGTGCGGTTAAGATCTAAATTTCACTAATGAAATCTAAAAAGCGATTTGGATTGTATTCGTCTATGAGAAGCGGACAGATGATGTAAATCTGTTTTATGGAGAGTGATGTGATTTGATGGAGTTGTGTCGCGATGGGAGAACTTTCACCTGAGAAACTTCAGTTATCTGGTAATGAAATTGACAAACGTTACTAATGATAAAGGCGAAGAAGATGATGGGGATGATGCGCTACCTTGTTGAAACAGACTACCTGTCTGGTAGCTGGATGAGGATTAAGGAAGAGCCGCTCGCTGGTATCGCTGCCGCAGCTGGAGCTCTCGCTCATCTCCGTGGTGAATTTCCTGGAGGCCCTCGGACTAGGCGGCGCGGCTCTGCTCTGCCCTCCCAAGTTTATACCCACGTTCCTCGAACACACTTGGGACTGAATGTGCTCGCACACTCGCCTAAACCTTCGGATGTTTCCTGCGAACATTCGTTTAATTAATGTCGAAAAAAACTCATATATTTCACTTGTGGAATATATTATCGAATCGAAAGATTAATACCGCTGTCCCGAAAATTGCCGTTTAATTCGTACATTAAAGTCGGACATCACTTTATTAAGATACAGTTGAAATTTATGTAGCATGATTCTGACAGGCCGAATTTGAGCCGAATAGATACCGCTTGTTCTTGTCGAAAGCTGCCAAAATCCATCACATAGCCCTGCCGCGGAATATATTATACATATGCGGATAAGACGTAATTGTATGTATATTAGTCGTACGTGCCAATGCAACATCGATCTAGTTGCGCTTGGATGACTGCCAAACGGTGAAGCATCTTCAGCGATCCACCGTGTTGTATTATCGCGAGAAGAGCAACGTTCGTAATCGCAGTGAAAACTGCAAGAATGCAAATTGTACGCTCACCGCTCAATAACGTAAAGGTGATGGCGAAGAGAGGCTCGTTCGCCTTCGAGATCGCGCTAATGTCAACTTGAAATCGCACTTGTCTCTGGAACATGACGGGCGCGGTGCTACCTCTCTTGTACTCCACTCTGAACGACATCGGTGAGCTCACGCTGTGAGATAATTCGGCTATCTGCAATTAAAAATATTACACTGGTTAGTTGAATTAAAACAATTAGCAAAGTAGGTGAATTTGTATCCCCAATTGAGACTTTTGCGTGGCTGATGTTTATTTAAGAAAAATACTCAATCCAGAATCGCTAAATAAATTCCATTGAAAAGTACTAAAAACTGTGATGTGAAAAATAAATAATATTGATTTTCTTTCTTTTTCAAATAAATAAGAATAATTTTCCATCCAATAGCCATCACCAGAAAACAAAGCTAGTTGGTGTAATAATATAATTTTTGACAAATTGTACAATATACAGAGTGTCCTATTCTAAAAAAATTAATAGAAACATTTATTTTTTTTTTTATTTTTTAAAGATTATAATTTTTAACGAAAGTGGCGTTTTGCAATTTTGTATTTTTTTTTAGCAATAGTAATAACGTGCTAATTAATCTTATTAATGGCTCCACTACGAATCTCGACAAATATAAGAGTCTAAGTTATTTCTCTTAAATGAACACTAAGCCTGGTATTTTATCTTCGTTACTTTAAAAAGTAGCCCCTCGAGAAGAGTGGCTTCCTCAACGGACGTTAAAGCATTGATCTCGATACTTGCCGACAAAAAAGCATGGATCAGGTCGGCCTTGACACTGGCCAGCGGCTTCCCCTTGACCAGGACGGTGAAGGTCTCGTCTTTCTCCGTAGTCATCAAACTACCGAACCATGATTTCTTCGTAAGTTCCGGCGAAGAATCCGGCGTGAGGTGCACCTATATACAATACGGAAAACTTTTACGATTTCTCCGTAAATATGGACAAGAGTAACTTTATCCGAAATCAAACGATGAATTATAACCAAGGAATCAATTAATTATATTTTTACATTTTCGGTTATCACATACCTCTTCGGTACTTGTGAGCAATTTACGGCGATGAAACCTGGGACTGCCCAGGAAAGAATTTTTGATCGTGGTCAATCGCGATCTCCAGTGATGAGCTCCGGATCCCGCTCCCGTGTGAGGTGATCCTGGCGGTGTAACGCCGACGGCGACTACTGCGAAACGGGCTATATCTTAAAAACGTAAAGCTTGGCCTAATCTTAAAATTAAAGCGACACGCGACAGCTCCACCCCTTCTTTCCGTAATCGATCGACTGACGCATTGTCAATCACTATTGAGGCTTTTTTAGGCTATTGTTATTTAACGATAGAATGTTTTCGCGCGTTTAACAACGTTGAATTAATCGGTCTTCGAAATCTCCATCGAAATACAACAAATGCGATGGCGATCGCAACAAGTAGGGAAGCTATCGCGTGAGACAAATTTACGGTGCAATTTCGCATAATTACAAGATGCAAGTCCTATAATAAATCAGAACAATAATGTGTGCGGCAAGACGTAATGTCGCAGTTACTAATCTACATGATTATATCGGAGGTCCTGTTTAAACATTGATACACAATCCTGCGACTACGCGATAAACACGAGAGCACTTAGTGTAATTTGATCTACCGTGCTTACGGGGTAGTGGCCTCTAAGAGCAGCGGTTAACTTAAGTGATTATCGGTATTATACAATGCTATCACCGATACTTAGACCACATGTGTGTATACATATAACGACTATAATTAAAATCACTTGACGAGAACTTGAAACGTCAAAGCGGGACACTTTGACTTAAAAAAAATTATTGCATAAAAAAATTGCTTATTTAATACAGAGTGTGCTATAAATTTCCAAGAAAACAGCAGTAGGGCGATTGTCAATCTTGCAGCGACGTTGTCGGATGACAATAACGATACATTAAAAATATTTGAGCAAAAGAGCGCGATGTTTTACCGACGTGACAGAATAAGAAAGATGATAATTTTGAGAGAGCGATAAAGATCTAAACTCACCAGGCTGCATCTCGTTGAGTTCAATACCGACGCTGGTGAGCGCTGGCGCCGGCGTCGGGACGCTCTGACTCATGGGGCTCTCGCCGTTTCCAGCGGAAGTGGCGGTGGTACTGCTACCAGTTGACAGTCTGTGAGGACTTCCGGAAATCGTCTGGCCTATGTGCGACGTCGGCATCGCTCTGTGGGGACTCAGCAGACCCGCAGGTGCGTGCAACGGCGAACTGCCCGGCGTCGACGTGTGCGAATGGGAGGCGTGTGTGTGACAGCCGCCTGTGCTCGGCGATCGTCGCGCATGGTGTCTGGTGCTGCAACAATACAACGATCTAATTAATCGCAAATTCAGGACGAGGATTTGAAATCATCCGCAGTTTAAGTACAACTGAATCACAAAAACGCCTTTTTTTAAAATTGATATTCTTTTATTTTCACCGATTAGTGAGAAAATAAATAATCCAAGCGAAAAAGTTAAGCGCTTTAATTCACATTTCTTTCAGTATTTAATCGGATATGTGCGAACAAATCTCTCTCGTTCCCTCTCGAAACCCGATTCGATAGTTGTATTTTAACACGAAAGCTCGGGTTTATAAATGCGTAATCGTTCGCCACAATGTATCCGACAAAAAAAGGGAAAAATGCAGTGCAGGGGAGAGACACGTGATACGAAACACGCGACATATGCGAATAAATTGACATTGTCACGCGATCGTCAGTTTGAAGTGAACCGCGGTCGGGATAAAAATCATATTTAAAAAACAAAGAGGGGAAATATGTATGTCTCTTTTTGTCCGAAAATGTATTTTTAACGTTTTAAACATGTTTTTGTCGGGTCACGGTCATTGTGTTAATTTTGTCCGCGAAAAATCGCCGAGAATAGACTTACAATTCGGTTCTGTGCACGCAACAGGAGCGTCAAAACTCGTAACGTCCTTGTTTTCTCTATCTAAATTAACGCGAATTTACCTGGACTGTCTTCTGGGAGTCAAAGGTGAGCCGTGACTGATCTGTCCGAGATTGAGCGCGGTGCTTCCGTTCACTCTACACGTGTCCACTCGTTTCCTCGGCGGATCAGCCTCCAGTTGTCCACCCGCGGATCCCCTCATGCCGCCCCTCATTACCTCAAGTTCGTCCTCGCACGCCGGTCTTCTTCGCTTTCTCTCCAGCAGCAGAAAGTATATTACTTTCTCCGTGTTGTGACTGGAAAGAAATTTGCCGGTTTCAGGGATGCTAAAGTCGTTCTAGCGATACTTGTCAAATACACTCGGACGGATAAAGAGCAAGCTAAAGGTCTCTCCAAAAGAGAAGCGGCTCGTCTTACTTCGGGCTGAGCAGCTCTTGGATGAGCTTATCACGTTCTTTGAAGCAACCAAGGCTAGCGATCGCCTGCAGCACGTCGGGATCGATCGCGTCTACGGACGGAATAACGTGCGTCTGCACCACGTCCATCATCGACAATTCCAGCTCCAGTTCGCCCTTACCCGCCGCCGTCACCCAAATATGCCTGTTTATCTCCGCTAACTGGAAGGAAAGAACATTTACTATCCCTGTTCATTCTCCGACACCCTGCCAGATATTGTAACGTTGATAATCACAAAATTCTAGATTGCGTCTTACCGTCAGCCTCTTCTCGGGATCAACCTCTATCATGCCTCTGAGCAAATTTTGACACTCGGGCGGCACGAAGTGCGGTATGTAAAACAATCCGCGCTTCACCTTCTCCAGCAGCTTTCTCAGATTGTCGTCGTCGAAGGGTAGGGCGCCCACCAGAAGCGCGTAAAGTATCACCCCGCAGGACCACACGTCCGCCTTCCTGCCATCGTACTTCTCACCCTGCGAGGGAAGGAGGTTTTTTTACGAGGGTTTTTACGCTGAGCCCGTGATCGCGCGTGATCAGCTTATTACTCGCTTAATTTATTATTTCTGTAATTCGATATAGATTAATCGAGGCTCTTACTCTAATGACTTCGGGGCAAGCGTAATGAGGCGATCCGCAGCTAGTCTCGAGCATAGAGCCCGCGGGTTGTAAAGACGCCATTCCAAAATCCGCTATCTTAATATTATTCTTCTCGTCCAGCAACAAGTTCTCAGGCTTCAGATCTCTATGACTGTGGAAGTGACGATGAAAGTGATTATGCGAGCCTTCCATTTGCGAAAAAAGCGATTCGTAAAGTGTTCAGGCGCGACTCACCATATACTATGGCTATGGCAAAAATCTAATGCGGAAATTATTTGTCGAAAAAATCTCCTCGCTTCCTTCGGAGTCAATCTACCCTTTTTAACCAGATAATCGAACAGCTCTCCGCCCGAGACGTGTTCCAGAACAAGATATCTTGAAAGGGGGAAAAAAAAACATATAAACTACACACTACTCTTATATTGTTTGTGCTAACGTGAGCATTTATCGTTATTGCTTACAGATATTTTTTGTTTTCGTACACATCCGAGAGGCCGAGTACGTGGGGGTGGTCGATCAGTTTCATGATTGCAATTTCGCGCTCCACTTTCATCAACACCGACTCCGAAAGCTTCTCGCGGTTGATAATCTTGATCGCCACCTTCTTGCCCAACACACAGTGTACGCCGAGCTTCACTAAACCTAAAATAGAACAGAGAGATAAGCTTTGTTGCTTTATGCAAACACACGGAAAATGGAGGGAACATTTTTCCATAATTTTTTTACAATCGACGGATATCGCCTTGAAATTTTTGTTCAGGAGAATTGGATTTTGAATTAGCCGAAAGATATATATTAAGCGTACATTGTTTAAGAGAATCAACCGGGTCGTTAATGCACAGTAGTGCTTGACCACTCGATTCGAGTAATTCGTCGAGGAGACGTAGTGGCGTGTACACACACTGTCACCCCAAACGGGCAAACACAGGTGGTTTTACTCGAGTGGTTTCGAATTCCTTCCACTTGGCAAAACACAGGGAAAGCTTGGGTCGCACTGAATTTCCAAAGGAATCGAACAACCTTTCCAACAATTATTTCAATTTCGTCAATTTGCCGGACGATACTCCGCGATACATTAACAATTCAAATTCATCATACACAAGTTTCGCTAATTCGGCATTATTTGCACCTGTATTTCGCTAATGTGCTCTCCGTTCCTGATTGCGCGCTATTATGCGATAACACCGCGGTCAAATTCGCACGTATAAATATCTAATTACAGTTGCCTTTAATCAAGCGCGTGTTAATTTACGCACAACAAATGGTGTCTGTCGCGGTCGTAAAAGATCTGCCGGCTTCAAATTTTAGCTTCACGAAAAAAAAAAATATATTCTGCGATAATAAGAAATACTATAATATGTAATGTTATAGTTGCATCGGAGATTGTATGAATCGTGAAAGTATTTTACGATTACGAAGAATAGTAGAGAGTAGGTTTAAAATCCTGTGTTTCTTTTTTTATAACGAGGACTGATGAAAAACATGATTGAAGAAGCAGCGTTAGTGCAAAGGCATTTATGAAATGGAAGGCGAAATTGGCTTAAATCGTCACCCGAAGTCCACAATGGGCGACGCGCTGTACCGCACAACGTCTTTATCCACTTAAATGGCTGCACTACGACGTCTTAAACAGATCAGCGAAGGTAAGATGGAAAGGAAAAAAAAAAAAATACACAAGGAAATCGCTCATTGTAAGACAACGGTGGAGAGCAATTAAGAGTCCTTTGTAACGAAGTAACGACTCCGGCTCCGATTATTAAAGGGGTTTAATCCTATATAAAGAAACGCTTTCGCTTACAAGGCGATTATGCAAAGATTGCGAGCGATTTCGCGAGCGCGCGATTATCCCGCGAGGTGATCAACGTTTTTTGATTACTCGAGCGAGAGGAAATCTTTCACGTGCGCGTCAGCTTCTCCGTATCTGTCGCATGCACCTATTTACATATCGTCTAAAAATATATCATGTCTCTCTGCGACATTATACCGGATAGTTTATAAATAGTTCGAAACCACTTTTCATGATCGATGACCATCTTTCAGCCGTTTTCGATGCAATCGAATCGCCTGAAATTAAGTCCGACGTTAAGTCCCGCCGATGATTGACGAGATGACAATTCCTATGGAAGTGTTAAACGGACGCGGGCGTTCCCCGTCAAATTCGAACGGCAATTGCATTAGCGGGTACCATCGAGTGTTAAAGTGCACTTTTCCCCCCTCTAACAATTCGCGTCATCTGCGATTTAACGATATCGGTAGCGTATATGCAGTTGCGGAGAGCAGCCGGTCGTGGTTTCGTTGCACGCAACGCGCGCAATTCAGAACACATTCGCCAAGATCAAAATTCATATGCATAATCGAGCTACATGTTGATATTCCCGATCGGTACGTCGACCGAGCGATTTTATTGCTAAGATGACGAATGTCGATGTTTGAATTCAATCATTTCGAATCCACTTCTCGTACACGCGATAAACGAGTGAGCTGCTCGAGAATTTCAATCGAACGTTTTCCGCGATATAAAATTCCGCTCCACGATATCGCCCGTCCGAATCGCTCGAATTTCGGGGAAAAGTCTTACGCGAGAGATACAGCGGAGTTTGAGTGCTAACCGAGAATCAACACGAACGCCGGCCTCGTCGTCCGACTTTATCCACTTTCCAATTACACTCAATTCACCACGCTCGCGCCTGTCCGGAATTTTTCGCGTTTTGAGCGCTTCCGTTTCCGCGAGAACAATCCGTAAACGGATATAACCGCTTCCTTCCGCCGTCCCCGATCGATCTCGTCGGTTGTAATTCATGTCGCGCGGACACGAGCGGCAATTTCATTACGCTCCACGCGTGAGTCAAGGAATTCAAAACGTGGAGAGGAATTCATTCGTGTGATTAACGCACATTACGTATTGCCACGTGCTGGAGAGCATGCACCCCTTTCGAGATGCACACAGGATCGATATAGCCGGCCGGGAGGAAATGACCACCGCGAGACTCATCTGCTGAAAGCCGTGCCGTGAATTCATTAACGAGCTCTTGCGCAATTACACACGCTAATCGAAAAATCGAAACCGCGTTTCCATCCGAGCTTCGCATTTCTACATTGGCATTTCTGAATAAAAAAATTCTGAGTGAAAAAATTAAGATTCCGATTAGGGAAGGAACAAGCTCTGTGTCCTGTCTGGAGTAATTTTTAAACAGTTAAAATGCGCATCTTCACCACGGCTTGCCTCATATCTCGTTTTTAATACCGCTAATTAACTCGCGCATTTATATCCGAGATGTATACGTGCGCGTCAATCGGTATTTTTTTTTTTTCTCTGCTTTATTGTCGTCAACATTATTACCTTCTAGTTCCCTCGTCGGTGGCGTTTAATTAAAAACTCTTATTAACTGCTTCATAAAGATTTACAATTGTCGTCAGACTTTTTTTCGTACAGTGAACAAAGCGAGGAGGGGCTTTTAAACTTGAAATTGTAGCAGCGTTCTTCAACGGAATATCAATTTACGAGCCGCGGAGTGTTTCTGAAGCGGAGAAATATTTAAAAAAAATTAAATAGCCCGAGACCTTCCCGCATTGCACTTCCTAGTTATTAAATAGATGAGTGGCACTTTTGTAAGATAAATGGTTTTAAATATATAATGCTAATAAACTTTGTTTTTTTTTTACACTATCAGATAAATTAATATTTGCATTAAATTTTTTTATTATTTATATAATACAACGTTTCCGATATAAATAAAATCTTTTTATTTAATTAAACTAAAATTTTCAAAGTAAATATATACTTTTCAATATATTCACTTTATTGTAGGTTTTCTCATTTTGTTAAACAAATAAAAATAACGAGACACTTTTTTTCATACAGCATTCCAATTAGACTTTAATTTATAGCTTTCTCTAAATTTGGATTTAAATTCTCTTTTATTAAATTATTATACATATATTAAACGTTGTCAATTCTTTTTTTTTTAATATTGGTTTTATTAATTTAATAGTCTGCAATTTATTCAAATTCTAATTAACCCATATTTTAATTTAAAATTGAGTTTACCTCGGTTTAATTTATTTTTAGCGAGCCCATAAAATTTCGTTCAGTCAGTATCTTTTTTCTGTCATTTTTTCTTCCGTTTAATTGAAGTGGAACGAAATGAATTTATAGTGTGAACAGAACGTTCTGAAAATGTGTCGATGCAATAAACTCTAATATTCCGTCTATGCACTATTGAACGCAATAATGGTTTCCGGTATATTTACATTCAACGGTCGAATGCAAAATTTAATTGATATCTTTTTGTCTAATTAGTTATGTATAATTAATCGCATCAATTGCACTTTATATCTGCGAATAACAAAAATAATTGATGAGTTACGCATAATAATAATTTATCCCCGCGAATATAGCCATTAATGCACCTCGTTGTTTTTGATAAAGCTCTTAACAACTCTTTTCTTCTATTATTCACATATTTTTCACATATTTTTTTCATTAACTCGTGCAAGGTTTTCAGAATAGAGTATCAGGTTCTATCAATTTACAATTATGTTGCAGTTTCTCGTACATTTAAGATATTATTAGAGATGCACCTATGATTACTCCATTCAAACTCTTCTCTCCGCTTGCCCGCTTAACCGCTGCATAACATAATTAGTACCACGTCGGTATCGATCGTATAATAGCATCGAATGCCTACGAGGTGAGAGCAAATTAGTATGGCGTTAAGTACCTACCTACTCTCTTCGCAATCGTCTTTGACGTGTAAGCTTTTTGTAAAAAGCATTGCTCTTTTGTTCTCTCTTATTTACACTTTAACACTTCGTACTGCCAAGCACTTTTTATTTCAGATTTAATTACTCCAACTTCTATTTATTTTTATATACATCGCCACTCACAAGAATGATGCATTCTACAATTTTTCGATAAAATTAGATATAATTATTTTATTAAAGATATTTATTTATGATCATACACTATTTAAATGGGGTTTAAGATTAAAACAACGGCAAAATTAAATATATGTTTAATATTAGAAAATAAAACTGACGAAGCTGTCTTTTTGCAAAAAAGCAACCAATTAGATTTAGATGCAGCAGATAATACAAAATATCAAAACAGAAATATCTCAAATCTAATCATTCAAATGTCAAAATTGCATGGAATGATTAAATCGAAAAATGATAATTCCTTTCTATTGCACAATAAAAAAAAGTTTAACCAAATTTTATTCGCTACATAGATATATGTAATTTTTGTAGCTTTTATAATCTTTATCTAACTAGTATACGTTCACATATATAAATTAATATTTCAATAACATAATTATATCTATGAAAAAAGAAAATTAATTAATTCAAGAACTGTCAGGCGTTGGAAAATTTCTAGCTAGAGTATATGTATTCCGAAATTACAAAAATTTACACAATTTAGCCATCGTATAAAATTCCCTTGTTAAAACACTGTACTGCAGTCGCGACCTTTGACATTTCCATAAGTTGGTCCATCATTTGCAGATACGTATGCATAAGCTCAAAATATTGTCCGTTCCGTAAGCCCCTTATATATGCTTTATCGAGCATGTATAAGTCACGCAGAATATGTATACTAATTTTAAGCAAATTTACACGTGGCGTACAGCAGCGTATTGCAGCTACGCCGAAGGCTAATTCGAGTTATGTCCGGGCGAAATGGGAACAGAATAACGAAGAGAAATTAGCAAAACGCTACGGTAGAAAATATTCGAATTGAGCCATCGTCGTGAAATACATTTAGGTTAATAGGATTAAATTTAACAGCCCCGTTTGCATAACTATCGGAAAATCGCGGTGATCTGATTCATTCGCGCTTAGAAAAAGATTTTTCCCCGTTCCTCGCTGCGAAAATTCTCAGATTCCAGAAATTTGGCAAATGCCCTTCTCTCTTATCTCAGAAGTTTGCGTGGGTGGTGAAATGATCTGTTAGAGTTGTACGTGTTCTACATACGTCAAACGACGGACCTTGAAGTCGCGCGAAAAAGTTTCGCGGGAAATTTCTATCGATCGACGTATATAGTCTTTAACCAATCTTTCCAGTGAGAAATCGCGAAACCAACTGGAAAAATATCGGATATTTTCCCGGGTAAAAATGTTAAAAATTATGTTTTTAAACTTCAAGGAGTTTCGGCTAATTTACATAATTTTAAACTCTTATCCGGGCAAACAACATTCAACTGAAAAGATGCTTCTTCTTGTAAATTGAACAAAACTTAGCATATTCGAATTTTAGTAACTTTGTCTTAGTGTCATTTTCGGCAAAAACTTTTATAAAAAGAGAATAAGAGACCTAGTAAAAAATATATAAATTAATATATATCTTAAATATCTTTAAGAATCGTTTCTATACAACTTATATGCGTTACAAGCATAGATCGTCCCAGATAATTAAATCCGACTTAATTAGACATTCCTGTGTCTGTTCCCTCACGCTATTATCGACCACGGTAATGATTACGGCGGAGATTTCGCAATAGAAAATGAAAGGGGAGATATATGATGATACACCACTTACCAGTCTGGCCTTTTCCCAAGGTCTTTTCCAACCGATAAGGGCCGACGTACTGATGGGTCTCCTGGGTGTTGGACCCAATGGGGCTCTCCTTGCCCTGCATCGCCGCCGAGCCGCGGCCTTCCTCTTGGTTCGCCAGGTTGATTGGTTATCCTGCAAAAACCGTTGATGCCGAACCACACGACTCTTCACCCTCCCCTCACTCGCCCTCACCGTTCGTCGTTTATCACTTGCTCGCGAGACGCGGTGCCGGTTTGCCGCGTTCCACCGCGATCTCGCGCGGCATCGTGCCCTTCGCCGCGGTAACTACGACGGAGATAGGAGATGTCCTTCAAGGACGATGTCTCAACAGAGACACACCGTCTTCGTTCGATCGTGCGTCCCCTTGAGTTTCATTCGGGCGACAATTCGGAGACAGCCGATGCGATAAGCGCGTGAAACGTCACTTTGTCATCGATATTCGTCCATTCTTTCGCGAACATTTCGATTCGAGACCTGGCCGCTGATTTGCCTTCCCCTCGAATTTAATCGAGAACGGTGATAAATCGCAGATCGCACACATACATCGCCGTTGCTGTATTGCTTGAATCTTTCATCCCTCGATGAGCGATATTTACTCGACTTTGAGCGAGAGTGATTGCCAAATACCCTCAGGCGGGAATGCCGCGCGCTTCAACATACTCCCGCATCCTATTATCACTGCCACGATCGTTCTTTTATCTTCGGCGGATGCCTCTCGCGGATTCTTTTCATGTTGCCTCCTCGCACTGGCGAAACCGCTGGCGGTGACGTTTCGAGAGATCGGCCGGCGGTCCGCTCATTTGAATTGGCGAGGCATCGAGCGGCCGATGTAGACACGGGAATGCATCGGTGTGCCTACGATGATACCTGCCGCCGCCGCCGCATCAGTCGATCGTGGCTGGCCACGATTCCGCGAGCACGGAGCTGGGCGCCATTGTGATTTGACGGAGGATACGGCTGCCAGCACCCTGCCTTGTCAAGGACGGGGCTGAAGCACGACGTGATCGGCTGCTTTCGGTCGCGGCTCCGCGGCTCTTCCGCTTCGCGACGGCCCGCCTTGCTCATTCGCCAACCCCTCACGACCGAGTCGCCATTCAACTTTCGGCTAGCGATGCCTACTTTGCATTCGCGGAGGAGCGACGGAATTGTCTCACACGATGGTTTGGACGACCACTTCTGGAAGCCACTCCGTTTTTCTTTCCAGTCACTCTATCACTCTATCCACGCGTGTACTCACTCGGTTGTCACTGTAATCCAGCTATGTAAGACGGCGTGACCGTGCTCGCGAATCGGGGGCTGCAAATCGGAGCCGTTTCTCTCTCTCTCTTTCTCTCTCTTTCTCTCTCTTTCTCGCACGACGAAGAATCCTCGAGAAATTTTCACCCTCCGCGATTCTTCACATCGGCTCTGTTTCGCTCTCGCTTTTTCGAGCCGATTACATTCCCGTTTCGTTTTTTTTTAACGACGAAATTTAGCCCCGTTTCTTGCGGAACTGACGACGACCACCGCGGCGCTCCCAGTTCGATTACGTGCCGGACACGCAGAGAGGGGTAGATTGTGCGCGCGCACCCCCACACCCGCTAGACAGCGAGACCCGTTTCGCCCTCTGCGTGCACGGCGAACCACCACCGACGATGACGGCGACGAGGGTGTCAGACTCGGGCTCTGGGAAAGAGCGTGGCGGAGAGAGAGCCGCCGCGTGTCTATCCTCGTGGGGTGGCGGCGGGTGTGATTACACGGGGGGTGGCGCCGACGCCGCCACCACCGTCGGTACAAAGATGATCGTCGGTTCTGGTCTGTGCTTTCCCGTGGCTGAGTGGGTTCTACATCGTGCGAGGGTGTTTCACAGCTCCTTTTTCTTCTGGTGTTAATTTTATCGTATTAGAGGGCGCAAATAGTCTCCCGTTTCCGCACCATCCTTCCGATCGCACAGTGATTTATTATATTTCGGATTAACTTTCAAAGTTCACACTTTTTTATCTTCGTACAATCCTCTTTTGAAATCAGTTTGCAAAGGAATACAGAGGAAGAGTGTTGCTGCGAGGTGCTTCTCTAAAAATACATTATTTTTGCTATTAGTGTATTAAATAAAGATTTACTTTCCTTCCTCACTTTTCAGTAACTAGTTTAATTGCTCGCGAAAAATTGATCTAAGAATATAATAATTACTGGCGAGGCTTCTGCATAATTAATAACGTCTAATCCCTTTCGCATAGATCGTAACTTTGCTCGTTATTTCTTTGACAGCGTGTGTGCTTAATTGAGCCTGATAAATTGACGGTTAAAATTGCGCCGAACATTTTCCACTTTTCATTGGTCGCTCGGAATGAGCAATAATACCTCGGCGGTGGAGCCGCAGCTGCATTGTCATCCCGTAAAGAAAGAGTCGTTTCCATTTAGTTGAATGGTAAAATGTGATTCTTCTGCCGGCGACAGAAATGGAATGCCGTGGCTGCGTACCAATGTCATTAATGTACCTCGCTCGGCACTTTAATCGCAGTGCAAGTCGAGGAGTTGTCAACTTAAACACGGATTTAAATTACTTTTTGCGCGTCGGCGTAATGCACGTTATTTTACTAAAAAAAAAAAAATTAAAAACATGAAAATACTTATTACATTAAGCATTAAATGTGAAATAATTGTTTACCTTTCATCTTACGCACGACACTTTGCGCAAGAATTTCGGGATGCAGTTTCAAATTCGCTGTGTATAATCTCACACGTAATGCCATTACGCTCACAACTGCATGTGAATGCTAAAAGTTGTTATAACATTAACATCAAAAGCATTTGAGATGGCACGATCATACGTACGTGACATTTACCGGTAACGGAGTCAGAAGTGCGTTGAAGTTTCCGACAGACGTCATGTATTATTCATAGTAGAATCAGACAGGATAAGCCAGACAGCATGGCCGTTGATTAATCATTTATTGGCTTAATTATTCACGAAAGGGTCCTACTCATATCTTCCCCTTGAACTCGATACAGTAACATGAATTACCAATTATTTAATATGAATTGTTCACACCAATGTTACCATTCAATAATTCATCCGACATCCATATCAATTTTTTCCCAGCAATTTTCCGACGTGCGTGTCACCAACACTACGACATGAAGCATAGTAAAAAAAAAAAAAATCGGTTAGCTCAATTGTCTCGGGTAACTAAAGATAATCCCATTTTGATCATGCAAACGAATTGTCCGAAAGGGACAGGAAGGGTTCCTCTTCATCGTCGCACGAATCTATTAAACGAGGTTAATTCTTTTGGAGAAAAAGAGAGGGATGGCAAGAAGGAGGGAGAGAGGAGAAGCATTTAATGTAGGCACTTTTCTCGATGAGGCGCGTGTATAAATATGCAAGATAAATTACCCGCTCCGTAGCGTGACGACCTGTAAAGGGGTGTGAGTGCAATATACACGGTGATCCATTCAATTCAAATATAACGTTTATAAACGCTTGGCAATTCTGATAAATTGCTCCGGAGAAATGCTCGAATTACTTTAACCTGACAAAACGGAAAGAGGACTTTGCGTTTAATTACTTTCTTTATTTTTCTTGAAAAGAATAAATCTTATTTTTCTTTTACCAGATTTGAGCGTAGTTAATATAGATTTGACAAATTATTATTTTATACTTTGCACTCTTGTTCGAATAAAAAAGCGAGGAGTAGAGTAAGAAGGAGAGCGAATTAAGTGAACCACCCTGTAAATCAGTCGATGAGCGAGCGAGAAAGTGACAGTATGACAAAGAGGCGAGATTGTGGATGAGTGAGAAGGTGGGAGGGAGGGAGGGATAACGGTCGGTGGCGTACAAAGAGGAAGTGGTGCGAGGGGTGTCTAGGATCGATAGATATTTAGAGGCAGAAAGGAACATAGGAAGCGTCTGACACCGGAAAACTCCTGGGAATGGCTTCTTACGAGGTGGTTCAACTCGAACTAACAAGCCATCGTTCAAACCCGATCGATAATTCGATCGTACTTTTTTTGCGTAACAAATTTTCCCGCACCGGCGGAAACGATGTAGAAATTATATCCGCTGTCAGTCGAATTTATAGAGCCGAAGATCGAATTGATCGAATAGAGATTTGATTATTTAAAAGCAGTTAATAAATTTATTTTTCTAAATTATTTGAAAAGAATCTCCAGTGTCATCTCCCTTCGTTGATAGTTAATATTATTATAAACTGACGTGATTAAATCAAGCAGACAGCGACAGCACGCTGTTCTGTTTATGAATTAATTCGCCAGAAGAAAACGTCAAAAGAACGCCGGTATAATCCGTGCATAATCGGCGTATTCCATGCTCATCAAAATTCCGTCTGATACGCCGAATAAAAGCAGCGTGAATCCAGGGTGAGTTCAGATTTCTCTTAGAAACAATAATGTGGTTCGTAAATAATTAACGCGATGAATCAATTAATTGTATACAAATGAATCGCGAATTAAATTAACATTTTCTTAGAAGCAATTATTAAACGATAGCGAACCTTGCAAATTTTCGATAGATATATCCTACACAGACCGGAAGTCTATTATATCACGGAGCTGGTTATACGTTACGCTTGGTCTTACGCTATCTGCACTCTGCAGGTATCCTAGACACAAATATGAAGTTAAGCACTAGGGGCGCGGGCTTCGGGTTCTGACAGCTCAAGTACAAGCGATTAATTGGCCAGCCATAGACGTCCCTTTACTGTCCTCTGCAGCGCAGGACCAGATAATTGTCATAAATACGCACGGTCGAATTATCGTAAGCGAGAATTTGCGGCTCCGCTTCGGCTGGAAATTCGCCAAAGAAAAAAAAGGAACATCCTGGGGACGGAATAAAAAGAGCTACATGCAAGTTATTGGCTCGGACACACATAGGGGATTCGTCAAATATTCGACCGGATATAGTCGAGATTAATCCGACAATTTTGCGGCGACAGTAGGGATATCCGGAACATGCCGGGAGATGAATATCTCGCTAGAGTGGTACAGACACCGGTTTATCCGCACTGTCAACTCGGCGGATTAAATCCCGACGTGGCGGCGTGTGAAATTTTCCGGGGAAGTTACGATCGACCCTGCAGCACGTCGGGTGATTAAATTTTCAAGACACGAAGGTCGTTGTACTCCGCGCATTGTGCGCCTGTACGCAATGAACGCTTTCCCCACAAAAAAGAAAAAAAAACGCTCGTCACTTTAAGACGATTCTTCCGCCGCGTCGAACACCTCCAATCTCACATTTGACAACGTGCGAGCGCGCCCACTCTCGAAGCCCCGAAGTGCGTATGCATTTAAACACGTCGGCGGTGAATACATAGCGCGGTTTGATTTATATAGCTGTTAAATACGATCTCTATTAAGCGTGTACTTCGTATATATGGACTCCCGAGTGTGGTAAATCACGGAGGGTGTACCGCGCCGAGGTTGGGCGTGTGCGCGCATTTGACACAATAATATGAACGCAGAGTCCCAGAGCACCAAGGCGTCGCTAATATCCGCAAGAGCTTCAGAAATAATTAACGGTCTGACTTCTCGCGGGTCGGATTGACCGGCATCTGTGTCACCGCGATACATCTGCTGCATTCGCTGAACTAAATTTACCAAGAGGACAACTCGTCTAGCAACCCACTTCCGACTACTTTGCGAAAACGTTCGCGTTTTCTCTTTCACAAGTTTTCCTTCTGCTACGATTATAATGTTGGATATACACGAAATCATATGGAAAATCGATCGATTTTTTATTTCTTGAATTTTTCTTTACAAAAAAGACTATGTTTCATTCGAATATACGCGAATAAATCACTGTTTTCAGGCTAAACGTAGTAAAAAAAATGTATAATAAACAAAAAAGTGAATAATGCTAAAAAAAATTAAAACTTTTCAGATAGATTTAGAATAGCTGCTCCATCGATCGAAGTGAATATTTGCGAAGTATCTTATTCGAAAATTACCGAGGTGCGAATATTTCATCACACATAAGCAATTGTAATTTCAATGCATTTCGTATTCCTCGTAAAATGTAAATTCCTTTTGTAGACACAGGGATGCTTGTAGACCAGCGGAGAGAGAGACAGAGAGAGAGAGAGAGAGAGAGAGAGAGAGAGAAAGAGAGGAACAATTCACCCTCGTATGTGCGTATCTGCTCATGCATACACGTGAAGTCGAGCACGCGAATAAGGGAGAGCAGGCTTTGAGATTCGGACTTTCGAGCGACGAGAACACGGGGAATGGCGAGGGTGGGCGCTTTCTTTCTCTCTCTCTTTCTCTCTTTCTGTGCAGAAGACCTCAGGGAAATCCTAATATTTTAACCAGCGGCGAGGTATGAAAGGACCCGTGCGCGGAGCATTGAAAGGGAAAATGGGGGTGTTGAGCTGCGAGTCGTCCCTTGCAGACGGGCACGAATGTACGTATATATCCATTGCGGTACCCCGAGGGAAGTACTTGCAATTAACACGGTAAG